AAGCAGAAGATCAGATTGTGGTGTTTGTGGCCAGGTTTTCACAGGAGCTAAGCGATCAACGTGCACTCTTTCAGAATTCTGGTTTTCATGTGTGGTTGCTGAGCTATTTTTGATAGCCTATCTGGCTGCACGAAACATACTTGTTAGCACTCGGTTGCTTATCTACCTAGTATATGGTTAGTTATGGGACATATAAAACCAAATGCAGCACTCATCTTCCACAATTAAGTAAATATTATAAGAAAATAATTAATAATAAAACCAGAAAGAAACAAATGAAAAATAACCAAGGAAAACAGACAAAATCAATTCAGAGTTTAAAATCTTGTAAAAGAAATCACAGAGGTCATAGTGTTGCAAAATATATGAACAGATACTCAATCCTACCCCTGTTCAGGCAGTCATGCTAAGCAGATATATTTAACTCATTGATTTCAATGAAATTTAGACTTCATGAGTTTGAAAGACAAGAAAGTAAATATGAGGGAGGTTAAAGTTGGCAGACAAGTAGAGAAAGTAGGTAAAAAAAAAACAAGAAAAAGAAAATATGCACAAAAAAATCGGTACGTTTTAAGATACAGCAAAAGACATTTGAGCCACTGGACAATTATTGTTCAGTAAATGTAACAAAAGCAACATAAAATGAAAATACAAAAACCATCAATGCATTCAATTTGGAACCTTGCTGTTTAGTGGCATAAAAAGATGAAATTCAAGCCTGCAACACACAGCCGTGCTCTGACAGTGTAGTCCACTCAATGAAAACTCTGTAAAATGAGATCATACTCTCAAAAGTGTAAAAGTGTAAACTCAAAAGTGTAAAAGTGATTACACTCTTTACAATGAGATCATAAATTTTAAAAAGATTTTTGGAGATCTGTCGGTGAAAAAGGATTGCATCAGAAAGAGATTTTCAGAGAGCTCTTTCACAACATCTTCCTAATTTCTTGACTGCCTCTTTACAAATCCCCTGATTTCTATGTTACCCTTGGCAAAGAAATGACAGAAGATGCCAGCTTTTAGGCATACATTGCAAAATAACCAAGGGTGAAAGAGAGGAACATGACACTTTTAGAACAAATTCAAGAATGCACATACAAAACACGGATATTAAGAGCAATGCTACATTCCAAGGCTCGAACAGACTTCAAGAGGTTATGTCACTGATGCCTTTCCCCTAAGGCAGGTTTTAATATAAGCCTGGAAGAGAATCAGAAGAACTGAATTATGAACCAGGATTTTTGGTCGAGTGCAAAGATGAAGCATCTGACCCGAAAAGCCACAGCTCACTTAGGGAAATTCCCGCTGATCATCCTAGACTGCCACCAGATCACAAACATAATTATGATTAATAAGTTCAGATTCATAAATGAAGCACTTCTTGATGAGTCACAACACCTATGACATGGCTTTTTATGCATGCTGAAGGCTCCCACAGCTATTCCGTGTCTGAACCACTAAGAAAAACTGGATAAAACATGACTAACATTCCAAAGTCTTCACTTATGTCTCAGCCTAACTTTTAAGAACTGTGGCCATCATTTTGTGCTAATAATGTTATTTAAAACTAAATTTCTTCAAAGCACCCCTTCAAAAGCTTCAAGATCCGAGTTCAATTAAAAAACAGCACAGACTTGGGCTCAGGTTATATGAATTCTCATTGCTAACTGTGTTACAGATTCTGAATGGGATTTCATAAACCACTTTATCACACTGCACCTGGATTTCCATCTGTAAAACTTCCAAATTTCATGGCAAAGGACTTCAGAATATTACCTAGAGTGCTGGATATATGCACAGCAGCTCTTCACAATACTGATCTTATATTAGGTGCTTTTAGGCTGATCTACAGCACAAGTCAAGACTTTTATCTTTTTTCTAATTCCTTAAGAAAAAAAAGAAGAAAAGCAGAAGATGGTTTCCTGTTCTGCCAAAAGGAAGAGAGGGTGGGTGCAAGGCTAACATACAAAACATGCCCAGGTTCACCACTCTTCCTGTTTGTCTCTGCAGTTACATGACAGATGACTTTTAGCTACTTGCAGCTTTGCTAATAATTTGAATGTTGGCAACCACTTTCTTGCATGCTCTGGGGAAGAATAGTGTCTCACTCCGGAGAAATGCCTGAGCACCAACACTGCTGCCCGAGTGCTAGAGGCAGGAAGTGCAGCTGCTGGTCCATGAGAGTGAAAGTGACTTGTCTACAAAGAGATTTTTATTCTTTACATTTACAAACCAGGCTTTTAAATTCAAAAAATAAACCTAACTTTTCAAGGATTTTGGGGGGAGTTTAGCAGCCTTAATAACTGTTTACATCCTTCCAGAACTACTGACAAACACATAAAGTGGGAAAAACAAATTATAGGCAACAGTTTTATACCTTCTGACTTTCTTCTTTCCTCTGCTCAGAATCATAGCAACCTTGATGTCTGAAAGTCATAGACAGAGAATAAATATGAAAAACTTTATAGAATTTTACCAGTGGAATTGAGTTTTTCACAGCTTTGACATGTTAGAATATTTTAACTCTCAAAGATCTTCCTGGTTGCCAGAAATCAGTGAAACCTGTAGCCTCACTCACTAAAACCCAGAAAACTGAGATGCAGTATACCAGAAAAGGTAACACAGAACCAGTTGCTCGAATCCACCACAGTACCATATGCTGCAAATAGTTCCAGACAGGATGCCTGCCGGCAGCAGAGTGTACACATCAGCTTCTATTCTTCAAAGCTGCACAGCAACAGCAGTACAACCTAGCAGAACTAAGGTTTAACAGCTCTGTAATTTCACTACAACTCAGTCATCGCTGTTCAGCACTATGTTGTATTCTCTACGTGCTGTTATTTTTCAAACACATTCATTTCTGAGTAATCATTTTATACTATTTTATGTTTTAATTCAAGCAGAAAAATTTGATGCAGGCTATTAGAAGCCAGATAACTTGTGCAGAGGGTGAAATAAAACAATTGGAATGGTGTATTATGTCATAAAAGCTTGGCATTAATAGGCTTGGCTGCCGTAATATGGGTCAAATTTGACCACCTTACAATGCTTAGTGCCTTACTTTGCTTGTGAACCTACTGCTGTAATGAGTCAGGCTGTCTGAAAAATGATGGACTGTTTCCCACATATGTGTGACAGCATTTGATGGATACACATTCACCCTGAATGCCATGTAAGAAACATAAATAAACAGACCTAAGGTGAGGCTCAGAAACTCCAGCTACTTACAAGGCAGCTCCCAACAACAAGAAATGTTTAGCACATACTCTGACATAAGCAAATAAGATCCAGCACTGCATCTTCACAACAGAGAGGGCAATATTTTTACAGCTTCTGTCCCTCTGCTTCCCAAGTGAAGCATCCCTTCTGTAGTTTCCTCACAAATGTTAATTGTGCAAGACCGCTGCAAGGACACACAGGAGAGACTGATGCAAAGAAAAAATCTGATTCGGTAAACAGAAAGCCTCTTTCCTCTTTTGTTTTATTGTTTTTAGTTCTTATCATTAAGCTGTTACCTTTATCATTTTACTTTCTCAAAAGCTTGCAAATAAATGCTTAATATCAACTCAATCTACTAAAGACAGGTTTAGGAGAGGCTTAATGTGAAAACCTTCAAATTTCAAAGTTCATCATCTAGCTAAAAGTATGGTGTTCCTAATAGCATTCAGGGAGCTTTTGCACACTCAAAGGCCATCTAGTGACTAAACTTAAAAATAATACACTTTTAACACGGCAATATTCAAGTCATAATACTCATCAAACAATGGAACAAGTATTCCTACGCAACAGACCCGTTCATTAATACTAAAGAACAGAAAGCATCTGAAGTATGAAAGTATGGCATAGTTTGAAAATAAACATAATTTTTTTTGGAAGTAAGGACTCTATTCAGAATGGCATCAGCAGAAATTCCTGTTGCATACTACGCTCAGAACCTTCTCTTCCATGTCCTATTCAACCGAACCTGGAATGTAACCCAAATCTACTTGCTGCTGGGCATTTACAGGAATGCCTGAGTTAGGTAGTCTCAGCATCATTAGGAATCACAAATCAGGTGTTTTGGGGTATGATCCAGCAGATGTGCAAAAGCTAGCTTCATATGGAACCTTTCTCAATTCAGAAAAGTGGAAAGGTGCCTGCTGAGTTCCTAAAACTTGGTTGTGCAATTAGTCTATGAAGATTAACAGCAGGAGAGATACTCTGATTTCCATCCTAGCCTAGGTCAGAGCCTGCTGATCATGAAGAGTTCATTATACCATGACAGTATACTGCACTGGTGTTACCACTGGCAGCTTTTACTTCCCAGGATGGGCACACCAAGGGTAGCTTTTGGTCTGATAATCAATTAATGTCAATTCCTTATGACCATTCTGTACAAGATAGATGGCAGGGTCACTTGGGCCACAGAGCAATTCCTGGATGATGAAAAAACCCCAAATCGACATTTCTGGTTGAAAAGTATGATGTGTGGTCTTAGGAGCATAATTTCCCTGAAGTTATAACATTAATGTGATATAGTAAGGAATCAGGCCTTAATGTTCTACGACAAATTCATAGTTAATCAAAACAGGTTGCATTTCAGCCTACTGTGAAAAAAGTAGATGGATAAAATCTGTTATATCATCCTCTCAGTAGACATATCTCTGGTCGTTTTGTATCAGCTTTCTTGACAATTTTTATATATCTATGCTGGATGGTCCTTTAGGTTTATACAGACCTAAACTGACCACTTCAAGGAGTTACCACCGTAGGCCATTTACTATTGACTCGATTATTAAAAAGGACTCTCAAAGTTCAACCCTGAATCTGAAAGCCCATGTTGCTTCTTGTGTTAACTGAGTTCAGACTTCATTCAAGTTATTAAAAAGAAAAAAGAGTGTTCCCCCCAAATTTTTCCATTCCTTTAATCAAGATCAGATTTTTAACTGCTTTTCCCCCCTTCTCTAAGTAATAAGAACTCAAGAGGCAGTATCAAAATCATGCTAATAAACAAAACACACTGTGCAGTGCTCGTGTAGCAAGGCTTTGAAGTTTGCACATGGTTAAGTGGAAATAAGTCTATACTGGCATTGTCAGTGTCTTCAAAATATACTGCACCAGCACAGCCACTGCTTGGATAGAAAGGAAACCAAAAATATGTACATTATTCATAAGACAGCTGGTGGAGGCAGCTGAACAATATACTGCATGCTCCAAAATTCTAATTATTTATTAAAATGGTCCACAAGAAAAAAACCCACAGAGGTGAACTGCCCGGTGTGGTTAGCATGTCCCAAGATGAAAACAACTATCTGCTGAACTTGCAGCACACACCAAATGACAGCTCTAGTACATATGTGCAGGGAAAAAAATGGAAATAAGATAGAAATGTGTCATCTCCATCCTTTTGGCTCATAATCAGATTGGGATATTCTTACAAAGAGGAGATAATAGATTCTGATTTGTAGTTTACTGGTAAAAGGCTGGAGACACCTACAAGCCAAGGAAACTCAACACACATGCTTCTCAGAAAACACCTTAAGATTAGATAACATAATCCATCTACAACTCTTGTTTCAGAAAATGAAAGAGGGACTGTTTGGGCTAATAAAAAATGTAGAAAGTAGAAACAACCCAGGGACATTGCACTTACATGTACAAAGGGATATGACAGGTTCAAGAGCTTTGGCTTAAAGACAAAATAGATCAATCATTTTTTTTTCACCAAACAGAACATTCGGATAGAATATTTATGAGGCCCTAAAAGACAGGTGGTGACAAGTCAAGTTTTTGCTCTTGGAATGATGCAGTGTTCATTTGAATTTGGTAAAATACTGTGGTAAATAATTAGGTTGGTGTGTATGTGATTCTCATCAGGGAGAATCTTACCTTTTAATCTCCTCAGATACTGGAACTTCAGTAAATTTCATAAGCATGTTTTCTTTAAAAATGAACTGCTTCTCTTCCTGTAACACTTCTCTCACTCAGTTCTTGAGGACACAGGGCAACTTTACATCAGGTCTGAATTTCTCTCTTGGCCTCTCCCTGCAAGCGACTCTTGCCATCCACGTCTTTATTCTTTGAAAGAGTAACATTCAAGAAACTATGATAGATTTTTCTGTCTACCTATGGCATTTTTCTTCCACCCTGCAGAGGTATCTGTCTCTCCCATTGCATGCCTGACTCGGCCCACTTACACACATGTCCACTGGGTTTGCCTGAGCAAATTGGCTGTCTCATGGCCTGGAAAGAGAGATGTGTTTGCTTCCAGCAGGGGCAAGAAGTAATTTCTGCATCTTATCAGACTTGTCAAACAACCTGGTTCATTCTGCTGTCCCCGTGCCCACCTCTGTGTTAAGCCCTACAAATAGAATAACAACTGCAAATTGGGTATGGGGGCTTTGTCACCAGGTTCCCAGGTACAAATATACCTCCATGGTCAAATTCTGAGGTCCTCTCAAACACTGCAAAGAAAACTTGAGACCACAGAGAAAGGGGTAGAAACTTCTGTTGTCATTTGAGTGAGAGAAGAGGATTCTACAGGCAAATATTGTAAAGACCTTGTCTCCTAGCATTGAGCACCTTCCCTATACTGACTCAGAATACATGAAGAATAGTTCCTCAGCTGTCTCTTTCTCTGGCAGGCTCTGATTCTCCAGTCTTAGAACGGCCTTCATTGTCAGTTTCTTGCATTTGCTTTGCTGTTACAGAGCTTCCCTGAGTTTGCTTTGCTCAGCAGGTGCAAAAGCCTGCTAGGGAAGTTCAAAGTTGTTGACTGGCAAAGCCATAGCACTACATCTTCTCATAACAGAGAAGCCCCTGCCTGCTGCAGATGTTTTATAAACCGCAGCTCATCCGTATCAAAGACAGCTTCTGTCTCTTATTTTTTACATTCATCCCAGACACAGTGGAGAAAGTGACTGTAGAATTTGCTTGCAAAATGCCTGACTGATCTCTCTTTCAGCACAACTTCCCCAAACAACTTAGCTGTGGAATGTCTTGAGACTTACATCTAGAAAGATTAGCAACTTACATCACACCACGTGCCTGCAGGTTGGTAGTTGGGCCCTGAATTATGTAGCTAAAATCTGGAATTTGTTTATGCAGTCTCATTAAAAATAGTAGCTAAAAACTCATCTACTTTTTATATCTATATTTAGTCATTTGGAGTTAATACCTCAGCATCACAGGAAAGCTAGCAAATGCATGTTATGTTTGGAAGAATACTTACACGACTTTTCTTAAAAAATTTATTGGACCATGCCTGTTTTAAGGTTTGTCCCAAAGTTAAGTTTGACTTTTCCTGACAGCTTAAGTGGAGTTGGCATTTCACTCTAATAGTGAACTTTACCCAACAAAAAAAATCACCAGAAAGCCACCAGACAGTTTCTATCTGCTTTGTGGAACTACTCTCTATTTCAGACCACTTTCTTGACTGTAACCTGGGTTACTGACTTGATGACATTCAATTTCAAATTTTCTCTGTGTTCATTTCAGACATGTCCCTATTTGACAGAGTATATCTCTGTCTCTATCTGCTTTTGTCTGCACTGGAATACTTAATGGTCAGATAGAACTGCATATCTCAAATATTCTTTCCCCTTCACTTTTGCAGAAAAAAAACAGCTGAACAGTTCTGACTGATGTCTGAGGTCTAATTTCATATGTAAATAAAGAATACAGTAAGTGAGAAATAAGAGTGAAAATTACATAGGATGGGTAAGAAAGAAAAAAAGGAAAATTATGTAGTCTATTTTTTATCCCTTGTGGTTTCTCATGTTCTTTAGGGTTCTGTTATATGACTGCAGCAAACATAAAGAGATTTAAAATGCAAAGTTTGAAGACAGAAACAAGGAACCAAAACCACTGCCTGAATTTATGACACTTTGAGACTTTTTGGCGACAATAGTACATATAAAGCATCTCTAACTGTGCAGTAACTGCACTACTGCATAATAAAATGGAACAAGGAGCTTATTTACATTTCTTTACCATAATCTAAGAAGTGCCTCCCCTCATCTATGAGCATGTAGCATGAGACACCATAAAATTCTGTTCTAGCTGTAATGAGCATCTCTCTATGAAAATTACTGAAATTGTCTTGAATCATATTGCTTATTGCTGATTATGTCTATCCTTAGAAGCCCTCGGCAGATATTTCTGCTTTCCACAATTTTTATAAGACAATTTTGAAATCATCAACCCAATTTTGCTTCATGTTATAAGTGGTAAATTCCTATTTTGATGCTGTAACCAATACGAAATTATAAGACTCAACTTTATGTGTAAGACATTGATATAAAATAAGAGGGTAATAAGAACTTTGACTAACATGTGACAGCAGTCCTGAACTGTTCTCTGAGCAGCTCGACACTGGAATAGGTCTTTAAATGTGCTGCACCGGAACGTGTCAGGAAATACTAAAAGACACAAAACTATCCAGGGGATTTCCCACCTCTGGATTGATTTATTATTATGGTTTGTAGAAAAGTAGACTCATACTCATACTATGGTATGTAACTTCACAATTTACATAAATAGATTTTTAAAAAGCATTAATTACCTTAAAAGATTTTTTTTCTTGTTTTAGCATTCGAATTCCCATTAGAACTTGCTGACTAGTACTTTTTGACTGACTAGTACTAGTACTCTTTGCTACATCAGGGACAATGAAACATACAAACACTACTGCGGTTGTTATATCCAGTTCAAATATCAAGGGCAAATACATTTATAAGCTTGTTCTTTTAGGACCCTGGGGAATGGAATTCAGAAACTCATTTTATTTATTTGTCAAGCATCACCAATTTCTTTGGTGTTTAAGAAATAAAAATAGCAATTGGCTTTACCTCTGAATCACGCCCTGACTCCCACCCTCTGTCCTGGCTGGTTTCCTCCTGGAGGTCTCCTGTGGGCAGGCTGGGCTCTCTCACCTATGATGGGGACCACTGGTGAGGTTTCATATCACTGCAGTCTACCAGGGATTCAACAGCTCCTCCAAAACTGGGCTGCTGTTCAGCATCTGCCATTGGACTCACAAAACCTGAACAGGGATCTATTAAAGGCACGACATCCTGGTGTGAGAATAAAGGGTAATTCACCCATACAGGAGGGCTGAGTAGATAAAATTTAAGGAAAGAATTACTGTTTTCCTCTTCAAAGTTGGAAAAGCCATGATTGCTCTCAAGATCCCTGACAACAGGCATCCACATCTTCTTTAACAGGCTTGGATACTGTTGGTGATCATCTTGTCAACTGGTTCAACTGGTAAGGCAGACTATTCAAAGGCACTTGCTTGCTTTTCAGGTCCATCAGAAAATAGTAATTCTCTTCTATCATCCTTATGTGGTAGTAAACTCAAAAGCTGCAACTTGCCCCTGTTTCTTCAAGTTTCTGAAGTTACAGCTAGCAAACCACAGTAAAAATAGAGGTCATTCTCCAGAAAATCAGTGCATAGAAAAGCATGGCAGTGGGTTAAGTACTGAATTCTTTCCTGAAAAGAGATATATCAAGTATGGTACACAAAGAACAGAGCCATTGAATGTGCAGAATTTTTCTCTTGCTTGGTAATGATGGAAAACACCTTACAGTGAAATGTCTCCTGGTGTGAAACATGGTTCACAAGTGCCACTGTAATCCAGTCCTTCAAGGGGACATACACAGCAACTTGCAATGGCACTAAAAATTACTGACTCATCTAGTAAATACAAAATGAAGAAGTTTTCATTCTGACAATCATATGTGTTTTCATTGAAGAATTTTACAATAAGATATTCTGTTGCTATAGAAATCACAAACATGAATTAAATTGCAACACTTATATAACACAAAAAATTTATCAAACACAACTACAGAGAAATGCAATCCAGAAAACTTAAAATTATTACTTGGAATAAGTAAATCACATTAACATTAGAATTTTCCATGCAGCTCAGTTATCTCCAGAACTTTGCCAGTTGTTCTATCAGGTTGGCAAATCCACCAGTATCTCAGGTCAGAATAAGCAGCACTCATTTCCTGATTCCAAGGTTAATGTATGCATTTAGCACTCTAAACAAAAGCAGTTTGATTTATAAGGGTCCTCTCCAAATGAATTCAGTGCCATCTGCAAAGGTCTGGCTCTTCAGAAAATTCAAACTATGTTTATTTGGACAGCTTAATTCAGAGTATGGGGGCCTTTATTTTATGGCCTTGTCAGGAGAAATTGGGGCAGAGAGTCTGATAATTCCCTCATTTATGTTAATCTCACACAGATGTAACTTCTTTGAACTCCTAACTTGCTGCTGATTAACACAAAATTAGAAATGAGCCTAAAATGTATTATAGTACAGGTTTATAGTAATAAAAAGTTGTGTTCTGTGATGCAGAATCATGGTGAGGGTTTTTCTGAGTAGTTTGCTGATGAAGCAGAATAAAGAAGTAAATAAACACACCGTACTTCTTTATCAGGGTTGGTTTCGTATATAGATCACAAGAACTAAAATGCGTAAAAAGCGACAACTGAGGATATTGTATATGCTGTATGGGCAGTGTAAGGCTAAGCCAACACTCTAAAGACACAGAACTCTGTCTGACACATCCTGCTTTCTATCACAGTTGAACATTCACCTGAGTGAAATGAAACTTCAAAAATTTGACTTCTGTCAGGAATAAGGCTCTAAAATTCCATACTGGTGTCTATATTTACTGACACTCTGTAATCTCCATACCAAATATAATGTTTTACACTAGAAATTACATTCAGTATTGCAGTTTGAGTTTTTCCTCCATTTCCTCTTACCTACTCCTGGAAATATTTAGAAAGAGATGACAGGAAAGGTAAAGACATAGGAATCAGGTAAAGAAAGCATAGGATGGAAGACATTACAAGGATGACTCATTTTTTGTTACATTCATTTTGTATTAAAATGCAATTAAAACTCTACATTGGATTTTGTTGACAAGGATTCTGTCCAGTTTATCCTGAGAAGTAAACTTGCCAAGGAAGGATGAATTATTTCTCCTGTCAACGTTCTGAAGTGATCTGTGCTTTTAAAGAAGCACATGGATGAACTGATCACCAAGCTAGTACTCTTTGCTAGATGTCTGCCTTTTACTTTGCTTTAGGATTCCTGCAGGGCAGTCTTTTTTGCTTCTTTGACAAGAAACAGCCAGTTTCCCTCTCTGGCACAGTAACAACTGAGACCAAATCTTTCAATAAAGTGACATTTTCATGTCAGACTTTATTTGCATCCCAGAAAACAACTCGTACCTTCCCCCTCCCCCTTAAAAAATCCATTCTCTACACTACTACACATCAAATACTCGTATGCCACAGGAACATGCAAGTGTCCTGGGATTCCAGACACTTCAATTGCTCTCTTGCAGCAGTTCAATGAAGAAGGAGCAGCAGAGCTGCAGGTGCTCATGACAGTGACTGGATGAGCGAAGTTCTTTGGCTCTGCAGTGGAAACTTGCTTGGTTGCCTTTTCTTAGGAACAACTGCCAGAAGTACGAGGCCAGTTCCCTGTGTCTCTGGCCGGGTGCAGTCCGCAATGCCGCAGGACTGGCTGTTTCAAAGGGGCTGCCCCTGGAGCAGCGATGGATTGGGATTAAGTAATTGTTCTCAGCGGGCGGGACGATTTTGGATGGCGCTATTGGCGACAGCAGCAGCAGATGTTTCCCTGGGGTTTGAGGATGTGAAAGCCTCCCCTCCCCTGCCTTCCCTTCCCCGCTATCGCCAGAAATGCAGAGCTTGGCACTGCGGCTGGGAAAGCCCCGCCGCCGCCTTCCCCGCTGCAGTCCCACGACCGGGAACGATGTGCCCTGCAGGGCCTGGCGGGGCACGGGGCCTCCTCCCTCTCCTCGGGCTGTTGTTCCTCCTCCTGTATCACCTCCTCCTTCTGCTGCCCATCTTGCCCAGGCAACCCGGCGCCGGGCCGGGAATCCGAGGCACAGGCTGCCCCTTCCCGGCTGAGTCCAACCATTAACCTGGCACTGCCGAGCCCCCCACTAACCCGTGTCCCTTCACCTGGACACTTTGAACACTTCCAGGGATAGTAACTCCACTACTTCCCTGACAACCTGTTCCAGTGACTGACCACCCTTTCAGCGAAGCCATTTTTCCTAATATCCCGCCTAAATCTCCCCTGGTGCAGCTTTAGGCCATTCCCTCTGGTCCTGTCACTTGTTACTTGGGAGAACCCTCTTTGCAGCCTGGCAGTTTTAAGGTTGTGTTGCTGTCTGCGACATGCTTTTCCATAATACAGGAGCTCTGCCCTTTAACACCCAGCTTTACCCCTGTGGTTTTTTACACCTGCTGGTGCTTTTTCCATCTACATTCACCAGATCTACTAGTGGGATTAAACTTCCTTTCCACATATTTGGAGATTGATGCAGGAAAGCTAAAGAATTATTTAATTTGACTTCCCTCCCCCCCCCGCCCTGCCCCAGATGAGCAGTCAGTGCTGTGGGGTGAGGTTTTTCTCCTTCCCATGTATCAAGGAACCTGTGTTATGGGGTGGGGGTAACACCACAGGTGAGTTGCATTGGCAGCGAGTAGCTGCTAATGTTGGTACCCGGCTGAAGCAGCTGCATCACTTGGTCAAAGGCTCTGAGGTACAGAAAAAGTTATGTGTTAGGATACCAAGATTGTACATTTCTGGCATTCTAGTGCTGATTTTGTACCCACTGTGTGTATACTTACAGCTGTCAGCAGCCACTGATGGTGAAATTCCGTCATACAGCCTCCTGAGATTGGGAAGGGCTTGAAATGACAGTCTCTGCTTCGTAGTGAAGTTTTGAAATTTGAACACAGTTAGTTGCTTAGGCTTTCCGATAGTATTAAACTAGGTTATTTAATTTGTGCATTGGTATGCATACATGCTAGATCTTATTCTACGGCTTGGTTGTGATTGAGTTTTACCAACCTTTCTTTAGAAAGTCAAAGTCTTTTCCAGGAGTTAGATCAGAAGTGAAGTTCAAAGTTTTTCTACTCTCTGACAAAAAAGGGAAAACTATATGCAATATTTCAGTATATATATTCCCTGAAATGTCATAATATTCTTCTGTATCTGGTTTTACTAGGCATAATAGACGTTGTCAGCTCCAGAAGAGACACTTCAGTTTTATTGCACTTGGGTGTTATTAATATAATCTGAATTCAGACTGATGTAAGAACATTTTTTTTTTTTTTTAATTTTAATTTTTACTTTTAAGTGTAAAAATTCTGGTGTATGCGTTTTTCCTTAAGTGAATAATTAAACTCTTTGAGGACAATCTGAGTTTTCTGAGCCATCTTACTGAAAATACACAAGTTTTTAAACTTCAGCACGCATTATGATAAGCAAAAAAATCTCCTTTTTGACTTAAGAAATGCATTAGTGGTACAATTGTCAGAAAGAAAAAAAGAAGGCCCACTTGAAATCATAATCTAGTTCATATCTTGCAGGCTTTCTGTCAAAAGGGTTAAACTTAACTGAGACAAATTAGAAACTGAAGTTCAGTTTCTCCCATATGACTTTAATATGGGTAGTAATAGAAATGGTAATATTTGTGCACACAACAACAGTAGGCAGCTTAAAAATGCCAGCTATAATTACAACACTTGGATATAGAAAACTGCTTGACTATTAGCATGATTGAAACAAAAATAAGTAAGTAGATTTGCTGTTTATATAACCTTCTGGTGCAGAAATCTCTTTACAAAAATTATCTCAAAACATACTTAGTTTGGAAAAACTTTTAGCAGTTATCATAGTTTAAATATTTTCCTATCACGTTATAGAATTTTCATTTCTGAATAAATGGATTGGAATTATGCTAACTGAACATTATACCAATACAGAATTTTATTAATTAATGAATTGTTTAATTATTTAAGGCTCATTTTAAACTGTTTCCTGCCAATGTAATTTTCTGACTGAATTTAATTCTCTGATAAATTATTGTGAAGATGATTGATTTTGCAACTGTAATGCTCATTTTAAGGCTAAAAGATTCAGAATAAAATATTTTGTGAAATTGTAGAGTTTACTTGATGAGAAAACTTTCAGAGGGTGAATGGCATTTCCTTTCAACTCAACGGTCATAGGAATGAATGTTAATTCAATCAGTACTAATCTGCCCAGATTCCTCCTATGCGCAAGAAATGGGAAGAGAAGCCCTCTTTATCTGAGACTGTTGTAACTTTCTCCTCAGGGAGGAGCAGGAAGGGTTGTTTTTCTGTGCAGGTAAAACCCACCTGCTATTGTCATCTTGAACTGAGACTCTTCCCCCTCTATGCAGAACCTGAAATATGTGAGCTCAATTTCTCTGAGTTTAAATAGAATCTGCACAGTTGCCCAGGTAGATTCTAAATGCATTGAACAGGATGTTAGCATCTTGCACTTAAAATTTAACTCACTTTTTGACCTGTTTCAGTGGCATAAATTGGTTGTAAAGCTGTTGCATTGAACTCAGTCTGATTTTAAAGTTGCCCAATGAATCCTCTAGTAACAGATACTTTATATGGCAAATGTATTGTATGGGGTACATTCCAGTCTTTAGGAATGGCTCTTCAGGCAGCTGGGAGGTTTTAACTACCCTGGATTTGGGGGTGAATTACCCCAAACTTCCGTGTGTCTGATACGGATGTAAACTATTTTTCTTCATCTGTGTTCTTTTGCAAAAGGAACTGTTGCTCACACCTTGTATAATGCCCGTAAGAAGTACAAGATGATGATGAGGAATCACACCCTGTATATTTTTAGTGTATTTGGCTGCTTAAAAAACTTAATTTTGAGAATTAATCCATAAACTCATTTATTTTGCTCAAAAATGACTGAAACAAATTACTTTTCCCACTGCTTATTTAGTACAGGTTCAGACTGATAGGAATGAATAATATATTTAATGACTTTAAAATGTGGTTTAAGCAGTTTCCTTTCATTTATTTTTTGTTGCTCTTTCTGTGGGACTTAATGAGCTCTTGATACTTTATTATTTTTTTTTCCCGTGGAAAGGATCTTTTTAACCTGGTCACATGCACTCTTAAAACACAGAGTGAGAGTGGGAAGATCATTTGTCCTAGACACTGCTGCAGGAAGTACCATTTAAATTCCAAAGGAATTCCAGTAGGAAATCTAACCAAAACCTTTTGAAAACATTTTGAAAGACAGTGTCAAATGTTAGGGGAAGAGTGTATAAGAGTTTGGATTCATATGCGGACAGAAACATTTACTGAGTGAAATGACTGCTATGCAAGTGAAAGGTGTAGAGTCATGAAAGGGCATTTAAGCTTTCTTTCACTCTAGCATGCAATGTTATTGAAGGCAGTAGGAAAATAATTCCAGAAGTTTTACATTATCTTCCTTTGGTAAATGTATTGCTTTCATGTTTTCTAGTCCTTTTAAAATAAACAGTTCAAGAGCTCCATCTTCGGGTTTAAGTTATTATTGTAAAAGAACATTACTTTCCTTTGGCATTGACTGGGTAGTGCCTAACATCCTTTACAGTTACGTACATCTGATGTTACATTCATGCCTTGTCAGTTTGCAGTGCTTAACATTTCTAGTTGCACTTGTTCCGTTGCCTTTTGATAAATTTTGAATACTTCCTTTATAATATTGTTGGTTTTAGTTCTTCTCTCATTAATTTATTTGATTTTGGTGGATTGTTTTTCCTTTGCAATAATGATATATAAATCAGCTTGACAGTTCATAAAATATTTATGGACCATGAGAGATAACAGTGGCAGAAGGAATTTTAAAAGAGGATGGTTTTCAGGTAGGCTTTATTATTTGGTAGAAATTAGCATGGTTTTATTAAAATCAGAGCTTGTGCTGATTTTTGTCAGTGGGGAATCTGATCATGTTATTTTGGGAGCAGAATGTTATTTCTTCCAGTGCAGCAGAATTCTAAAAGACCTAAATATTCCAGTGAGAAGTTTTTAATCCATTTTGTTTCTCAGTAAAAAGCCTCTAATAATTCCTGGAGATCTTTGGAGAAAATAAAGTTATTTGAAATTTTTTGCTCTTCAAACAAAGTTGTGGAATTGGTACCTAGTGAAAAAATACTGCAAAGTAAATGAAACTGTTAATCACAGAAATTCACCAAATGCGACATACACTTACTGCCTTCTGTCTTTTTTTTTTTTTTATCTTCCAAAGCAAAGTTTTATTTCTTCCTACTTTGTAAGTATTTTCAATGGCATACTCTGCTGATATTCTGACATGACAAGTACGGGCAGTTCTTTTAACTCACCTTGATTGTCTTGTCCGTACAGCTGGAGAATTTCCCTTGCTTCTGTTTTCCATAACAATACTGTAGAGAAGTACAACTGCCATTTTTGTAATAAAAGGGGTGAATTGATGGTTACCCATTACTGCTTAAATCAAGATAAATCAAAAGAAAGCTGTGACTCGACCTTATCTCTCTCATTGTCCCCAACAAATGCCTCAATCTATAACCAACTTATGGAACTATTTATTGTTGCTTTAATTTTTTGTATATAATCTAAGTTAGCAAAAAGCACTGATCTCGTGCCACATAATTATTTAGCCCATCTTCATAAAATAATTTCTACTGATGTGTTCAGTATTTGAGACTTTCTTGTCCCTTGTTACTTACTTACTTTCCCAGCTTTGTCCAAAAGAATTAAAAATCACAATACCTTAACTCCGTGCAACCCATGTTCTTTCCAAGCAGGAGGGGGAGACAAAGAACACAAAACGCTGAGATGGTAATTGCTGTCGTTATCTTTCTGCTGGCTTCAATTCTGTATCTCTAATAACTCTGTAAGAGAAACTCAGATCTGACCTGTACTGAAATGCCACCTGAAAGATACTCCAGTTGGCTTCCAGAAGCCTTGTATGTCTTGCAAAGCTCTGCAATCCTTATGAACATGTTTTTAATTTCTATTTAAAAGAAAAGCAAATTACAATAGAAATAAAATACCATGTATTTCATTTCATGAGGAAATTAGGAAAATCACAATCATGACAGAACC